ATGTTTAGCTCTTTTTGTTCGCTCTACTACTCATAATATTGTTTTGTTGCTGTTGTATGTTAATAACATGATTATTACAGGCAGTGATGATATGAGAGTCCAAAAGCTTAAGACATATTTGGGCTAGCAATTTGAAATGAAATATATTAGAAGACTAAACTATTTTCTTAGGCTTGAGGTCTACTATGGTATATCTCTTTTATAGGTTAAGTATCCTATTAATTTGATATCCTGAGCTCACCTTTCTAATGAGGTTAAAAATACTCCTATTGAGATGAATATTTACTATACTTCCACTGATGAAACCTTATTGGATATCCCACCTATTACCACTAATTAGTTAGGGGCTTCATCTATCTTACCATTACCCATCCTAACATTGCTTATGCAATTCACATTGTCATTTAGTTTATGTCAGAGCCTCGAACTACTCATTATATAGTAGTTTTTTGAATCATTTGGTACATCAAAGGCACTCTGTATTATGGATTTTACTTCTCTACTAGCTCCTCTCTTGTACTATGGGCTTACTCTGATACCAATTGGGGCGATGATTGTGATGATCAGCGATTTATGATTGGTTTCTGTATCTTCCTTAGCCATTCCTTTATCTCTTGGAGAAGTAAGAAGCAAATGTTAGCCTCCCGCTCCAATGCTAAATTGGAATACCTATACTTGCAGACATGACTGCTAGGGTACTTCAATTCCATTGGTTACTTGATGATCTAGGATCATCTCAAAGCTCCTCCATAGATATATATTGTGATAGTTAAGCTGCAATCATAATTACTCACAATGATGTGTTTTATGAATGGACCGAACATATTGAGATGGACTATCACTTTACTCGAAAGCATATTGTTTAGGGCACCACTCACTTGTTCCAATTTGAACTAAGCATCAGCCGACAGACTTGTTTATGAAGTCCTTCCATCTAGGTCACTTTTATTTCTTAGCAGACAAACGCAAGTTATTTTCTGTTAAACCATCTTGAGTTTAAAGGGGATGTTATCTATAATATTCTCCAAATATCTTTTATCATTATTATGTATATATATCTCAATTATTATTATGAGGTATTATTTTATATTATTATATAATTATTAGTCATTATTGTATTGTCTATTTTCTTGATGTATATAATTTACCCTTCATATAATAAATACAATATTTTTCAGTTATTCTCCGATTTATCTTTTTGGCCTCTAATAGCTTTCAAAAAAATATTTGTCCAAAATATTGTTGGCTATTACAAATTTAAAAAAAAAATGAAGGAGTAAAAACATATTAACAAAATAACTTTCACGATTAACTATTTAAAAAATTAGTAATATTTGATTTCAATATAATAACTTATGTGTTAAATATTAATTAGAAAATATAAATATTTTCATAAATAGATAAAATTAAAATTAGTGTTTTAACAAAATTAATATCATTTTCAACTGCCCAGAATATACGTATAGGCTGGAAAATGAGTGACTTGTTGGGACTCCCAGATCATAATGGAACCCAAAATTACGGTCTAAATTGGTTCATTAATCATATTCATAAATCTAAACCACACATTAGCGGTCCTAAGCTAGATTTTTATACATGTTGATAAAGACAATGATAGATTTTGCTTTTTTATTTTTAAAATTCAAACTTAGCATAATATGCCACCTAAACTCGTAGATTATTTATTGAAAGGTCTCTTTGAAGAAACCGGATGTGCCTTGCAATTCTAATCACTATCATTGTCATTTTTGAATAAAAACAAACAAGATACAGCTAAAATTCTAAAAAAAAAAAATAGCCATGAAAAAAAAATCAAGATTAAAATATCACGAATGGCTATAATTTTCTTTCATTAAAAATATCTTTCCCAATTTTGACTAAATTCGTCTGTTCGTTAATTTACCATTTTCTGGTACTTTTTTTTTTAAAAAAATTGGTTAGCTTGGGCTACATCTATAGTAAAATTTAATTGAGGCCACTGAATAAACACAAAATAGTTCCAAATATTTTTTATATTTTTTATTTTTAAATTAATCATTTTTTGTGCCATAAAATTAATCATTTTGATGCAAATGAAAAAAGTGTTCATAAAAAAAAAAAAAGGTTTAATGCGGAGACTGCTCTCTCCAATCAGCCTCTGGGTCTCTCAGAGTACGGAATGGCTTTATTGTTTTTTCAGTGCAAGGCTGCCCAAAAACTAAGCAATGAGACAAAAACGAGGGGGAGCATCTCAGTCATGTATCACAATTTTAAACTAATAACATTTAAATTCTCAATAATTTTTTATTAAAAAATAAGTTAAAAATATCAATCTAAATAATTATAAATTTAAAAATTTTAGTTATAAATAAGTATGTTAATGTTAAATGTAACTCTTAGATTGTAATTGAAATTTTTATTTGTAATTATTTAAATTAATATTTATAATTCATTTTATATAAAATTTTGTTGGGACTTAATTATCATTAATTCACTCTTTCGGGGCTTTACTATCATTTTTCCAAAATGAGGTCATGTCAAAATTCATGAAATTTCTGCACTCTATGGAATATTTAAGTTATGGTAGGATGTTTTGTGGACAAGCAGATCAACGCATCTTGATCGTCCAATCTTTTATAGTGAAATTCTTAATCTTATTAATAATTTTTGAGAGGGGATGTCTTTTGAAATATTTTATGCTGGATAAGTGATAAAGTTTTCATGAAATCAGAATAGCTATTGACTTTATGTAGTGAATTTTTCATTCCAAGAAAGATTAAGGCTTTTCAAAATACTCATGAACTTTGCTATCATATTGGAGTGATAATCAAGATATTCAAAAAATTCCTTAATTCAATTTCATTTGTCGTCTTTGATTATGCCTCTACAAATAGCAGTGCTATTGATGTTGATTGATTATCAATCGCAAGCCTAACCTATCCTAATTTTGGAGGACTCCATTTAGTGATAGATTAGCACTTTTTTTGTCAAGTGATTGATTTTTTATTGAAATTTTAGGCCATTGGTTACTTGTTGAATGCAATATATATCTATCCTAATCATCTTCTTCAAAGTAAATCCTTTTGCATTCTAGCCTTCCAAATATTCTAACAGGTTTAGATTAAAAGTCTCTACCAAGGCATTTTTCTTGTACTCAAACTTTTTACTTTATTTTTAATATTTTAAATTATCTACTCATAGAAAGAAAAGAAAGTATTAAATATAAAAAGATTGACTATTTTCTTTCAAACATCTTGAATTTTCTTACAATCATAAAAGATATAAATTGAAGAGCCTAAAGAGTTACAAGCAAGAGAGCAAATAAATTGTTGGGAAGTACTTTTATTGATATTTGTGAAATTGTTTCGGGGTCAGTTAAAAAAAATCTATTGTTGAGTTATACATAACTATCATAGTCTGTATACGTATATTCTCTACCTAGTCGCACTAGCCAATTTTAAGTTATAAATGCTCTTATTTATTAGATCTTATATATATACATATATTATTTTTTCAATTAATTTTATTTCTAAAAATTATTTAATTAATAGTTGATATTTCTATTTTAAAAAATACACCTTACTGTTTAACATTTGGGGTGTATTATAACTCTATTTTTAGTCAAAAAATTATTTTTTACATGATATAAGATTACTTCATATAATTAAAATAGAAGAATAATAATGTAACTTTGAAAGTAACATATATATATATATATATATCATATAATTTTTTAAAATTATTAATATAGTTTACTCTAAATTATACCATACGTATCATCACAGGCTCAATCATACATACCAATAAGGCGCGAGCCTCTTTTATATTTATTAAGAGAAATGACATGCTCGTGGGAGAGTTTAAAAAATTAAACCAAATAGGAAATGATTTTTTTTTTTTCTGACAGATGATGGACTTTTGCTTTTAAAAAATCTCAGTAGGTTCAATATCTCTAGCTTGATTTTTTCCCCCTCTCCTATTATTAAAGCATACCTAATCTTCCAGCTGTTCATGATTAACCAGTATGTGAATGCAAAATCAAAGTTGGACTGTTCTAAAAAGTTTGTACCATACATAAGGTTGACAAATAATTTGATATTTCTTCAACGTGTATAATGTTGCGTGCAAATATGGTAATCAAACCAGCAACACTTTGTTTAATGCAACAGTCGTCATATTGCATACAAAATTTACCATCCAACGTAATGTAAGATATTTTTTAAAAATTTTATTTAATTTAAAATATAAAACATTATATAATTTTTATATTTATTTTTTTAATTATATCCCCACTTTATTTTATTCTTTTTAAAGAAATGATATATTAAATTTTTAATTGTTATTATTAAAGCATTTAAGTATTGTATATTTTTATTGATATAAAAATTTTGTAAGAAATTAAACGGTTCAACTATTTTTTTTAACTGTAAAATAATTACTAATGTCTTATATTATGATAAGAGAGAGGGAGTATAAAAATTATAATAATTAAGTCTTAAAAAATTGAATTCATAATATAATTTGATTTCTGACAAAATTTTGTAAAGAAATAAGTTGTGAATATTAACTTAAATAATTATAAATAGATATCTCAATTATAAGAGAGTTATCTTTAAAATTTCAATATTTTGATTATAATTTAAATTTTTGAATATTTGGTGAATGTATCAATATTTTCAACTCATTTTTTTAAAAAAAATATTTAAATTTAACTGTTATTAATTTAATTTTTAGTACCTATAACTTTTATTCTTTTTCGCAAAGGACAAAGGTGATAAGAACAACCATATATATAAAATAAAAAGGCCACCAATGTCACATCAAAATCACAAAATATCATCAAGGGAAAACCTATTTTAATTGGAGGGTCCATTTTAAGTGTAAATTGGGATCCCTCAGCATATTATAATCTAGAAATCTGTCCACGTATCGTCATAATGCTTTACCAAACAAGAATGTTGATGCAGTGGCCATATTATATATTATACATATATATAAACAGTGAGGGAGAAAAAGAAAAAACAAAAAAAAGAAGAAAAAACCAACGGCAACATCATTTGAAACCTAACCACTTATTTTGCAACTAGACATGTCAATTAGTTCCCTGGTACAGAACATTTAGGAGACAGTTTCTGAAACAAGAAGCAGAGAACAACACACAGAGATCAACCACCACCACCTTCACTACCATATATTTTCAAATCTTGCTTAATTTCTGAACTTCTGGGAATATTCTGTAGGCATCAAAAGGGTGATATATATACATATAGAGAGAGAGAGATAGAGAGAGATGGATGGAGTGTTGTATAATTACGTGAGGTTGATGATGATATTAGTGATGCTGCAAATGGTGAGAGAGGGAGAAGGACGGAGAGTGATGAAGGGATGGGAGGTGGAGGATGATGAGCCAAAAGTGGAGGTGAGATTGGAGATGCCGACGGCGATGGAGGCGGAGGAGGAGGAGGGGACTCGTTGGGCGGTTCTGGTGGCCGGTTCTTCCGGCTACGCCAATTACAGGCACCAAGTAATTAATTAGTGTGTAGATCAGTTTCCTTCTTCAATTAATTCAACACTGTCTTCATTAATCTGTGTTTGATGATGATGATGATGAAGAAGAATTAATAGAATGAAATGAAAATGAAGAACAGGCAGATGTGTGCCACGCGTATCAGTTGCTGAGAAGAGGAGGAGTGAGAGAAGAGAACATAGTGGTGTTCATGTACGATGATGTTGCAGATTCACCCTTCAATCCAAGGCCTGGTATTCTCATCAACCATCCTCACGGCCAAGATGTTTATAGCGGTGTTCCCAAGGTTCTTCTCTTTCCCCTTCTTTCTTTCTCTTTCTTCAGTTCCTTTTTTTTCTCGCTTAAAGTTACGAATAGGTCTTTGCTCAAAAAAAGAAGGTTACGAATAGGTCCTGACAAATTAAATTAATGACAATTACATCACTTATAATTTTTTTAAAAAAAAAGAGTCGTAAATTTTAATTTAAAACCGGTATAAAATCCTAATTATAATATAAGAGTTTCATTTGAAACTTAAAAAACATTTTATTTATAATTAAACTATGAAATTTATAATTGTCTAATGACAAAAAAATTTTAATGAACTCAATTCTGGGGCTAGTTTTAGCTATTTGAAACTTAATTAATATAAACTCAGGCCATACAGTCGATAATTTGAGTTTTTAAATTGAGTTTAAAATATTGAAGTATATAAAAAAATTTTATACACTCAAATCTGACCTTAATATTATATTCGAATAAGACTTATTTTATTTTGTTTTTTTATAAAGTTTTAATTTTTACCTTAAAAAATTAAGATTTTTCAAGCATATAAAATTTTTCTACCCTTATTAATGTGAGAGTAGATATTGAAAGTGTAAAAAAGGAAAATAAATAAAGTAAATTTTTATATTTTTTTCCCTTAACATTTAAAAAAATTCAAAACAAACAATTATTGAAACATTGAAACTTTAGTTAAGATTGCTTAGTTGTGAATTGAGAGTTTGAAAGTGAGCTTATGATTGTGAAGTTAATGTTAATATAATTTTGTTAATAAAAAATTGAATATTTAAGTCTAATATGTTTAGGTTTGAATTTTGACCAATTTTTTTTGGGCTTATTTTGAGCGGCCCAAATAAAGTAAAAATTAAAAGCAAAAAAAAAAAAATTGAACTTTTCAGTTTTTCAAACCGTTCTTCTTTCATGAATATTACACTTACATGATTTTCTTTCTTTCATTTTTTTTTAAAAGAATATTTATTATTTTTCAGTGTGTGAGTGAAACGGGCCGGAAAGTTTTGGCCTCCCGACAAAGCAATAGGTTCCGGAAAAGCTTTTTGATTATAAAACAATGCTAGAATATTAAATTACGTTTTGTTCTTATCTTCTTTTCAATAAAAAATCTGAGAGAAGAATCTCCCTTTTTTTTTTTTTAATGTCTGTATTATTATTTGCAATTGGTTATTATTTTTTTTTTTAATAAAAGTCATTGGTGGACACATTGAAGTATCTGTGGGCCGATTACTTTCGGTGGTGGAATGTAAAGTCGACACTTGACAATGTGACTCATGAACCAATCTATGAAAAATTAAAGACGTTTTTAGTGGGGTATAGACGTGTAGTGAGAAGAATATATTAGTTTAAAAATGAAAATGTCCACCTCATTCGATCAATCACAAACAGCAATACGGTAAATTATAATCAAATGTTCTGATTCGTTCAATTAACAGCAAAAGCAAGCATGTTGAGTAATTAAACATTGGCCATTATTGGGTCACTAGACAAGTACATATAAAGTTGTTTATAAAAATTGGCCCGAACAGGTTTGATCTTAAAGGCTTAAGTTTATTAGTTATTTTATCTTAAAATTAACATTTTTTTTTTAAGTTTGAACCTTATTGTCAGGGCTCCAGATTAGATCCAAAAGCCCATATAACTTGTTTTTTTTTAATTAAATTTTTTTAACTGTACTAATACATATTTTACTTTGTAAATAGTAAAATGTCTAAAATATAAATAGTCTTTAGTCCTTATTTTCATTAATCTTCATTCAAAAGTAAAACATTAGGCCCTTTAGAAGGAGGTCTACTTGGAGGAGATGGTGTTATTTCAATAACCCCATCAATTTCATCTTCATTTCTTAAAATAAATATTTAACAAATTGTACTGTTTTCTGTTGAGAATTGTAAACTTGAATTAAGAAAAAGAAGATTGGATATTCATTGATGAAGATGGTACAACATTACAGTATCATAATCTTTCACTTGAGGATCTACAATCTAATCAACCCACTTGGGTGATAAACTAACATTATTTTAGGGACTAACAGGTGAGAATCTTTATTAACCTCCCTTTTTTTTATAAGATTAGACTTCCTTACCTAAATATTTAATCCCTTATCTTTTTAATATAAGCTTAGGTTAACAATTAACTATCATTAATGTTTGTATATACTAATTTAAAACTTTAAGTAAATTATATAAATAAAGTTAAGAAAATTATAAGAGCTTAAGAGCTAGCCTGAACCCAATTCCAAGCCCATTTTTGCATCACTTATAAAACTAGGGTTTAAAAGTCCTTTTATGTCAAAATCTTTTATTTTGTTAAGCTTTGCCCTTGAAAAATATAGGGTTTAAAAGGGTGGTTTGTTAAGTTGAGACTTTATTGATGGCTCTAGTTTCACACTATCGTGGCCATGCTTAAATATATTCCAAATGCCAACGTTATTAAGGTTCCCCCACCCCCTTGCTGCCTGTAAAGGATTAAAAGTCAACGTATCACAATAGTATTAAATATTTAATAAGTTGAACTAGTATTTTAACTAATTTAATGAAATATGTGTTTTTATAATCAATTTGACCATTATTTTGACTCATAACTCCTGAACTAGCAGCGCTTTGAATTGTTCGTCCAGTTTTTAACACTCTGAGAATAAACAAAAATTTGGTGGCAGGATTACACAGGTGAGAATGTGACCGCAGAGAATCTGTACGGTGTAATTCTTGGAGACAAGACGAAGGTGAAGGGAGGAAGTGGAAAAGTAATAAACAGCAAGCCGAATGACAGAATCTTCATCTATTACACCGATCATGGAGGCCCTGGCGTTCTAGGTACTGGATCCGCTAATTCCATCTCATCAACATTCTCATTCTCTATCTTGAATAACTAATGAACAAATTAATAAGCTAGATTACTTGAGAAGTGAAATCCTAAATATTAGAGTCAGGAATATAAGTCGAGTTATATAAATTGATCTGAATAACTTCTCATAAAGGGTGAGTTGGGTTGAAAAAAATTAGTTTAGATAAAAATTGGTTTTTTTTTTAACTTAGATCATATAAATTATGAACCATATAAGCTAATCTTGATGGTTAAAGTTGACTTGTTTAACTCGTAATATTTTTAAAAAAATTAAAAAAGGAAAAAAGGAAAAATTTTGTTTGGTATAAACTAGAACATAACTTACTTAATTGGATCAATTTATATATTTTGTATTAACATTATATATTAATATTTTAGTATATCTAGAATAAATCATGAGAGAATATCAAATTAAAACTCATTATTTAGATGTATTTTTTAAAAAATTTAAAAAAAATAAATGAGTTAGAAGATTAACTCATTTAACCCATAAACCTCCAAGAGTTTGGTTGGGTTGAAATTTTTTCAACCCACATGAAACTAAGTTTCCTCCAACTCAACTTACATTTCTCCCGACTCATGGTTTGAATTGACTTATATTATTAGCTCTAATCGTGATTAGAGAAGGGGAGAGTTTAGAGTTCACACTTTATAGTTAAGAGTGGCTGGGTTTAAGACTTTTAGGTTGAGTGGGATTTTAAAATAAAAAATAAAAATATGCTATCAGGCTAGACCAACCTCTTTGTTTTATCTGGATTTGAAGCCTGAGCCCAAAACCATGCTCATTTCTCAAGTCCAGTCCCATATAAAATGTGAACAAAAAATGTGTCGGCCTGAATTCTGTATTCTACTTATATTAGTATGTGTTTTATATTGATAGCTAGATTAACGTTGCTTTTTCCTTTATTTTTTTGACACAAAGAAACTAAAACAGCTTGCAGCAAGGCAGGATCAAGAGAGGACTTCCTCTCATCCTCCACCACCTTGACATAGTAAAGTGGTAGTTGATAAAAAATAGTCAAAACACCTAGGTAATCTTAGGCATTATTAACTAAGTAATGTTGCAAAAAGCTACAGATTGGAAGCCGCACGGTTTACAATTTAGTTATTGATGTAAAATTTATAACAATCATACTATATATAAGTCATGAATATAATAATATAACTTACATGTTATGCAAAATACAAGGCCAGATGTCTAATGCATATATTGACTTTGCTGATTGGAGAGTATATTGCAGGAATGCCAAACATGCCCGTGATTTATGCAATGGACTTCATTGAAGTTCTGAAGAAGAAGCACGCATCTGGGGGTTACAAAGAGATGGTAATTAACACTTTCTGCACAATCTGCATCACAAAATATATCATAATTTTCATGAACCAAGATTGAATCAACGATGTGAGCATGTGTGTGTAGGTTATCTATGTGGAAGCCTGTGAAAGTGGAAGCATATTTGAAGGAATAATGCCCCAAGACATTAATGTTTATGTGACAACAGCTTCGAATGCACAAGAACTGAGTTTTGGAACTTACTGTCCTGGCATGGATCCTCCTCCTCCACCAGATTATCTCACTTGCTTAGGCGATTTGTTCAGTGTTTCTTGGATGGAAGATGCTGAGTCTCACAATCTCAAAGCTGAAACACTTCAACAACAATATCAGGCTGTAAGATTATCTTCCATTTCTCAAACATTTTCATTGTTTCATGCATGTTCTCTGAAAAAGCAGATAAGATCAGAGACCAACAAGAACAAGCAAATTGAGCCTGAACTAAATTTGTTTTTACTTTTTCCGTGTTCTGCAGGTAAAGACAAGGACTTCGAATTTCAATAGCTATGGATTTGGCTCACATGTGATGGAATATGGGGATACTAACATAAAAAGTGACAAGATTTATCTGTTCCTTGGTTTTGATCCTGATTCAGTCAACTTCCCTCCTTACAATATCAAGCTCCGACCTCCAATGCAAGTCATTACACAAAGAGATGCAGATCTTTTGTTTCTCTGGCAAATGGTACATATACCTCTTCTTTAACCTAACCTTACGCAACATAAAATATTTGGAAAATACAACAGTAGGTCTTGGTTGTGTTTTTTTCTTTTTTTAGTTTCCATAGTTTTGTTTTGTTGTTCTCACTCAATCCTTTTAATTTGATACATTTACAATATTAGTCATTTTAGTTTTAAAAGTGCACACAAAGGATCATGAGTTGACACCACTGATGAAGTTAATTTTGCTTACGTGTATTTAACCCTATCATTTCCTTCGCTGATGTGTATTTGATCTTACTTTCGTTAAATACATTATGTTGAAGTCAAGTATAAAAGAAAAAAAAATTTCTCATTACCTTTCTATTTGCAATCATACTTGATCAATTTATTTTCATGTCAGCATATTTTTGTCATGTTAGCAAAAGGATTAGCAGGGTTATAACGAAATTAATTCTATCATTGTTAGCTCATAATCTTTATGTGCATTTTTAAAATTATAGTGACTAACATTGCAAACTGATCAAAAAGGATTAAGAATAACAAAATAAATTTATAGGGACCTGAAACAAAATACAATGAAAATACATGAATCTGCTGTTATATTTTCCCTGGAATATTTCTTCCCACTGACACTTGAATTCTTAACATTGACTTGTTCATGTCATTTTGTTACAGTATAACAGATCACAACATGAACCAGACAAGAGGAAAGAAATGTTGAAGCAGATTAGAGACACCGAGAAGCACAGAAAGCACATAGATTACAGTGTGGAATTGATTGGAACATTCCTGTACGGACCAGGAAAGGGTTCTTCAGTGTTGAATCAAGTGAGAGGACCTGGTTTGGCTCTTGTGGATGATTGGACCTGCTTGAAAGCTATGGTGAGATTATTTGAAACAGAGTGTGGCTCACTCACACAGTATGGGATGAAACACATGAGAGCATTCGCCAACATTTGCAACAGCCACATCTCCACCGTCGCCGTCAAGGAGGCTTGCCGGGCGGCGTGTGGCAGCTACGATGCAGGGGACATGCATCCAGCAAGCAGGGGTTATAGTGCTTGATTCTTTTTTCTCCCACTTTCTTACTATACTTTATGTTGTAGTTTTGAGAAATATGAATTTGGTGACAGTAAACATTGAGTGCTCATCCCGTCTAAACCGTTGAAATTCATATCAATGGTTTATATAAATTCACTCATTTATTAATCTTAAGTGATGTATGAATTTATAACCATTGATATTAATTTCAATGATTTAGATAACACAGGCAGTCAGGCACTCAGTGTCTACATAAAATATAGTCATCGAATCTAAGAGTGCAGCCACATCTTTTTTTTTTTTTTTTGGTTTTTGTTTGGGAAGTAAATATCTTTGTTAGTGGGTGAGAGAAGATCAATTTTGTTTTCATGTATTATTATAATGGTTCATGCTTGATAAGAAGCATGTTGCCACATTTTAATGGAAGTTGGTACAAGGTAAAAAAAAAAAATCGTATAAATACGTTGGTGTAATTAAAAAAAAAAAATTGATAGTCTCTCTTCCGGTTATGTGATGCACACTTTTTTTCCAGTCAGCTTTGTTATTTTTCAGTTTTGATAGTCACAAAGTTTCTTAACAGTTGACTAGAGTTATGCCAACTTAATCAAATGTGCTTGAGTTTTGGGAATATAACAACATTAATGGTAAAGCTTATGCTTGAAAGAGTCTCATCTTAATTCAATCTGAATTAATTTGAATTTATGTTAAAATTTAATCAACTAGATGCGTTTGAGGTTTGGAAATATAACAACATTGGTGATAAAGCTTTCATTTAAAAGAGTTTAATCTTATTTGAATCCGAATTAGTTTGAACTTGTGTTAAAATCTCATCAGTTAGACATGAGGCAAGCTTTGAAATCATATTCCAAGATAAAAAATGTTAATCATTTGAAACAATTCTAGGAGACATGTGTGAATTCCTTGGGTCATTTCCTGCAATTTCCCACATGAACTGAGACACCAACGACAATGTATTTAGAAATGCAAAATGATATATTTGGTAGAATGCAATATGAACATTCTGGCGTTCACGTAAGACCTTTTTCCTTTTTAATTAGTTCCTTTTGTTTTTTCACTATTTGATCAGTTTTTGGGCCTGGCCCATTTCATTATAGGTACAATTAATATTAACTAGTATTCATTACTCTCAATATTTTAAAATAGGTATTAATCCTTTCATTTGAAAATATAAAGTATTTTTAGTTAAATCCTACTCTTAATAAAATAGTTATTTACTTTTAAATTAACCCTATCTTTTTATATTTAACTCGATTAAACACTCTACAAATGCCTTATATTTTTTAATATCAAACTATTTTAAAAAATATCTTATATTTTTGAACAAATGGAGTATTTATTATTCGCGGAGTTCACTTTCTATACTTACAAACACACACACTAATTACATTAGTGTCAAATAAATTAAGTCAAATTAAGTCCGAAACAGTTTCTTGAATAATTCATCATCTATAATCCAAATCTTTATTGTGTTTCTAGATTTTAATACCATAGCTTTCTTTCATTACTTTAGCTTTCATATGTATACTTTTGACACCATTTATGTTTTCAAAAAATTACTTTTAATAGAAGGATACTTGTGAAAAAAAAATTTGAAAAGAATTTTTAGGGTGTTATACTTACAAAAAACAATAACAACAACAACGTGAAACAATTAACTATTTGATCCCTATAGCTTTGATCTAATTGTAACTCAATCCTTAAATTTTAACTCATTGTAACTCAATCTTTATATTTTTAACTCGATTGTAATTCAGTCCCCGAATTTTATTTCTTACAATTCAGTCTTTATAATTTCAATCACTTATATATTGGTCTCTATATTTTAAAAATAAAATTGTAAAAAAATTTAAAATATTTTGAAATTTTAATATTTATAATATTAGTAATAAAATTATAAAGATTAAAATTATGTTAAAATTTATTACTAATATTTTAAATTATTAAAACCTTTTAGTTTTTATAAATATTATAGATACTAAAAGTTTAAAATATTTTTAATCTTTATAATTTTATTTTTTAAAATATAAAAGATTAATATTTAAGTGATTGAAATTATTGAAACTGAATTGCAAGAGATAAAGCTCAAGAATTAAATTACAATCGAGTTAAAACTATAAAAGTTAAGTTAGAATGAGTTAAAATTTAAGAATTAAATTATAATTGATTCAAAATTATAAAGACTAAATAATTAATTTTCTACAATAATAATAATAATAATAATAATAATAATAATAATAAAACCAACAACACTAATTTCTATTAGGTTTCCTTTGGATCAAAGCAATATGGTTGGTTCTAAAATCTATATACGTCTACAGTATGTAAAGTATTAATGACATATACCAAATAAAAGTCTAAAACTAAAAAACACAAAAAAGGAGTGAACCTTCTATATATGGGCCAAGTGGGCCCCCATTTGGTCCACTTGACCCTCAAGGTTAACCTTTTTCACAAAGGATAAGTGGGCAGATCCAGATTAGAAAAGATTGGGGTGTGGCTTATGGGACTAATAGAGCAAATTAAGGGCCTATTTATTTAAGATCAAAAATAAGTAATTTTTTTCAAAAAATAATTTTTAAATAATTTATAGATTTTATAAAAATATTACAAATATTTTATTAAAAATAAATATTATCTTATGTTTATTTATTATAATAAAAAGTTATTATTATTCAGTTATTTTTAGGTTTAAAATATCTTCATGGATTACTATTCATAAAAAATTATTATCTGGTTATTTTAAAATTTTATAATATTTTCATGCTTTTTCATATTTTTATAACATTCTCTCTCATGTATCAAATTATTTTAAAAAATTATTAAAAGTTGCTTCTCAAAATAATTAACAATATGTTTTTTTTCATATTCTGATTGTTTTCATAAGTTTAAAAAATCATAAAATATATTTTTTAAAAATAAATGATGTTTTTATGAAAAAAGCTTAAACAAAATTCCCTAAGTTAATTTTATGGCTAATGAACAGTCTAATTTTGATTTAAGACCTTTATTATCGTAAGTTACAAATCATTTGAATGTCAAATTTTGGAAGGTCACTATTGAATCCTTGCACCTACATTTGATACTTCTAGGTTAAATGACAGAACATGAGTTACAAATTCCTTAAATTTGAGTATCAAATTAAAGGCTCTTAATTAGAATTTAAATTCTCCTTTTTAAAATGAAATTAACTCTTGTTCCACTAGTCTCTCAATTATTCCCCAAAGGAAAGATAAGAAAACCAACAATGTTATTAATTTAATCTTAATATTTTAGTTAAATTTACCGGTCATAAAATTACAGGCTGGTTAATTCGTTGCATTAGCCTTTTCCCGCCAACTGGTAAACGAGCAGTACTAATGTGCATACCAAATTTAGAAATTTTTACTAGTAATATTTTATAATTAAAACAGTTACATCAATATCATTCATAATTTTGGATTAAAATAATAGCTAAAGAATATTTCAAACCTGCAGGGTTGAGGCACATGAAAAGTTGATTCGTTATGAAATAATAAGAGAGAGAACACAATAACAGATATACAGAGTTGGCTTAATTAGGACAATATTTAATCCAGGAACCACTTGAAAATTAAAATCTAAAATAAAATTGTAATTAGTGGGTGGTGGTAGGCACATGATAGTAAAATAAAATTGATGAGAAGGATAAAATGAAAGAAGAGGGTGATGATTTGAAAGTCCAAACATGTCAAAATTTGGTTTGTTGTCATTTCTTAATCCTATTATGAGTGCCATAATTGGGAGTATTATATTGAAGCAGACACACAAACCAAAAGCTATAATGCTACTCTCTGTGTGGTGCTTCTCACATGATTATTAGTATTTTACTTTTTGTTTAATATTTCAATTAATTAATTCTTTTTGCTTCATTTTGCCTTTCCCAACTGGGCAATCCATAAAGTAGCTGTAAAGCTCCCCAAAGAGCCACGACCACACAGCACAAAGACAACATTGTGTATGTTGTTATTATTAGTTCTCCCACATCTCATTATATTTGCCCAACAAATAATTAAAATTGTAACATATGATGCTCATTTGCATGTGTTTCTGTGCCATGACAGTTGACCAATCCTATCCCCACCAAGTTAAGTCGCAAGTTTTTTTTTTTAATTTAACATTCATAAAGTTTTTTTAAAAAAAAACAAGAGGCAAAAGAGGGGGAAGAAAGAGAAAGTTACTCATTAGAGTTGGATTAGTAACAAATGAAACGATTCAATATTGTTTAAATTAAACAAGCTCTAAAGTTTGAGCTTTTTATCAAGGTATTAAAATTGAAATGGTCATTAAATCGGCATTGGTTCAAGGATTAATATTTCAATGAAAAATTAAATTAGTACCATTATTATGTAGTATATGAAAAAAGTGTAATTTTGGTTCTTTAATATTTATACAAGGTTTCATTCTAATCTTTTAATTAATTAATTTTATAAAAAAAAGTGTCTTTTCAATCATATAACCCTAATCCTATTAGTTTCATTAATAAAAAAATTGTCAACAATTGAACCTTTAAATGCTGACAAGATATTGTCAAATATGTTGACATATAAAATTTATTTTTTAAGCAGTAACAATGATGATTGTAAAAAAATTATTATTTGGTACTAATAGTATTAAGATTGGAGAATTGAAAAGATATTTTATTAAAGGGTTAAGATTCAATTTTGTTCTTGTACTTATTTTTAAAAAGTGCTGAGCACCTTACACTCTTAAGTGGGACAGTTTTTTTCTTGAAGTTTTTTTTTTCAAGGTCCAAAAACACACTTCTATAGGAGGCCGCTATGTTTTCCATTTTGTGCTAATGTGGATATACGTGGAACCCACGTATAGAGATAAGTAAGGCTTTAATCATGTCTTTTGGTGTTAATTTGTCCTTGAATTCTTTTTTCAGGAATGCTGGATACCCTAAAGTCTTTTTCATGAGCATTGGATACCTTAAAATTTTATTAAAATAAAATTTAATAAATATTACCAAAATATTAAATATTTTTATATTTAATAATTTGAATATTATTATTTTTTAAATATTCATTCAAAATTTATAAATTACTTTTTTAATATTAACAAATCAAACTAGCATTTTATAAATTTATAAATGACTTCTTATTTTTTATATATAGATCTTCGATCTTCTCTTCGAGACGGTGCCCAAATCATTATACCTTTTGTGCATGTTAGAATTTATTTATATTTTTAATATTGGTTAGGTTTCTTAAATTTTTAGATCATTTTTTGTAATTTTTTTTGATCAACTAACAATCTTCCTCCAACATATTACACTACCCAAATTTAATATTCTCTGTACGTTATTGTGTTAAGAATAAAATTAGAAATATGACAAATCAAGATCAACAATATGCAAACAAAAATGTTAATTTATAATATATCGCTTATTTCATTAATGTCCTAAAAAAAGTTACTTAACAAGAGAAAAATAGAGAAATGAGAAAAAAATTCTTT